CCCCACCTGGCTACAACCTCCTGTCAGGGAGTTGCAGAGAGTGATGAGGTCTCCCCTGAGCCTCCTCTTCTCCAGGCTGAACAGCCCCAGCTCCCTCAGCCTCTCCTCATAGGACTTGTGCTCGAGTCCCTTCACCAGCCTTGTTGCCCTTCTCTGGACCTGCTCCAGCACCTCAATATCCTTCCTGAACTGAGGGGCCCAGAACTGGACACAACACTCCAGGTGTGGCCTCACCAGCGCTGAGTACAGGGGAAGAATCACTTCTTTGGACCTGCTGGCCACACTGTTCCTGATCCAGGCCAGGATGCCATTGGCCTTCTTGGCCACCTGGGCACACTGCTGGCTCATGTTCAGCTTCCTGTCAATCCAAACTCCCAGGTCCCTTTCTGCCTGGCTGCTCTCCAGGCACTCTGTCCCCAGCCTGTAGCTCTGCAGGGGGTTGTTGTGGCCAAAGTGCAGGACCTGGCACTTGGCCTTGTTGAACCTCATCCTTATGTTGGAATCAGACCATCTCTCCAGCTTGTCCAGGTCCTTCTGCAGAGCCCTCTTGCCTTCCAGCTGATCGACACTCCCTCCTAGCTTAGTGTCATCTGCAAATCTGCTGCTGATGGACTCAATCCCCTCATCTAAATCATCAACCAGATAAACCTAATGCCATTAGATGAGCACCACCACAACAACCCACGCCTTGAAAGATGAAGTCTTTAATATCTGAATTTTTTTCAAATATTACCTCTGCATTCAAGTGGAAACTCTGCAGCCCTTCACTGATGTTTAATTCTTGAGATGGTATTTCATTCTGGTTCAAATGAATCTTCCTGAGATACTGAATCTCGGCTTGTAGATGATCTTGTCTTCTCTTTTCCTCAAGCAATTCCATTTTATACTTGTTAACAGTAGCATGATAGTCTCTTTTCTTTGTGCAAACACGACTGAACATAAACTGTTGTAGAAGCACAGGATGTATCAGTGAACATGCTTTAAAACAGTACCCTGCATCCAGCTAAAATTCCATATTTTACAATTTATTCTATTTACTCTCCAAGCCTGCAGGTGTCCAGAATAATTAACACATGACTAAGAAAATTAGGTTCATGTGTTTTATAGCAATGGCATATAAGACTTTTAGCCAAGACAGCATTTTTCAAGTATACCATTTCTCATAGACTCCTAAAAAGGCCAAAAAGTCTAAAAAGCTCCAGACAGCCTTCCATGAATCTCAACTTTGAAAAGCAAACTAATTTTTGGAATATTTATTTCCTCTTAGAGTTATGAAAGGTGCAGATGATCTATGAGAATAATATCAGTGTGATGATTTAAAATTTTTGTTCTAGTTGAGATTACTAGTTTAATGTCTTAAACATCTTTAACCATAAAAAGTTAAAAGCCATCTATGGGGAAAAAAAGATGAAAAAAAATCAAACCTAAAACCCCTACTCGAAGTTATAAAATAAGGCTATTTGGATTATTAGTTCAGCTGCTTAGTTAATGGATATCTATAGACATGACTGACTCTTAAGATCATGTCCAGTGTTTTTTGTAAACTGGACATGAACCTTGCCCTCTCTCCCCAGGCCCATCCATGTTTCCCTCCCCCCAACCAACAAAACCCCAACCCTTAATATTTCATGGTAAATAAAGAAACAGAAAAAACATTATCATTTACGGTACTTCTGCATATGATAACAGGAATACCCTCCCAATTAACCTTAACTTTTTTCTGATAATTATAGTTCAATGAAGAAACTGATTCCAATTTGGGGAAGGTCTGCAAGAGTATAAAATCAAACTACTTGGCTAGTTTTGCAGAGTAAACGTGCATCTCCAATGCAATTTGCACATCTCTTTCTCCCACAAAGAAACACACTATAAGTCATCTATAATTTGATTTATGGAGTACAGAAAAAGATTTCAATTCCTAATTAAAATGGAATAATATTAATGAAATAATACTGTGCAAAGCAGCTGAACTACAGTCAAAAACTAAGATTGATTAACATAACTACGCAGTTTCAGTTGTCTAAGATTGTAAAGCATTTACTCCTATCAGCTTATTTTCTACAATATATGGATTCACAAAAATCAAAGCTAGAGTACATAAAATCCTAGCTGTCAATATTAAGAACTTATTAAAAAAAAGAACCAAACTCAAGCAATATGAAGCATCCACATCTTGGTACCTTCAGTTTGTTCAATAAACTCTGGAGATGACCGTTTAGTTTCTCATTTTCAGTTTGAAGTCTTTTGACTTGTTTACTCTGTACCAAGGAAAGCTGAGGCAGTATCACAGCTATCAGCGCTTTCTGACTATTCAGTTCACTCTTCAGCTTAAGAGACACTGTAGAGAGGTATTCACACCTCTTCCCCATATTTGAGAATTTCTCAAGAAGCTCCTAAATGCAAGTGAAACAAATTAATTCATTCACAATAAGGGAAAGTGTGATAAACAGAAGCTTAAAATAAACGACCAGACTCCAGAACTAACCTGTACAGTATGTATTGGTTTTACAACAGAAAAGTTAATAGGACTAAGACTTCAGTTTTGACTTGCCACAGGGATAAGATAGAAACACTACACTAGGGACAAAAGCAGAAAATTTCTTAGTCTTCCAGCAAGTCATTTCACAAACTCAAATTATTTTCATGGTTTAGATTGCCCAGCCACATCCAGACTTGTAGATCAGGCCTCAAATAAAATTGTTGCCTGTTCACAAGTTTGTCCACTGGCCTTGTCTCAGGGTGGGCTCCCACATTATTTACTTGGTCTTTTCTCAAAGGAAAGAGATCATAAAATTGTTCCTAACACTTTACCATAAAAAGAAAGGTGTGATCAAGCAGTGAGCAGGATGAGGAATGCAACAGGCTTGAAGGTCCTCCCCAGTAAAGGGCAACTCAAGTATCGCCTCTCAAGCTACATTATACATTTTAAAGCATAAAGCTCCTTTGGCATACTCTCTCCATCGTTCGTTGCTAATTGAAAGAACCAGGATTCACCAGTTTTAACTCTTTTACCCCACAGTAAAAACACTGGAACTGACATATGCTCTGCATCCAACAAGAGCAAGTACTAGATACTTGAGAAAACTGTACAAGAAAGAGGTACACAAGATTCTACCTATTACAGCAGTCAAAGGGAAGAGTGCCGTTAAAAGGGATCAATTGATATTACTTCCCTCATTATTAGCTCCCTACTGCTGATGTAGGATAGAGATGGAGAAAGCTACATGTGATTGATTTTTGCAATTTGGTTCTTTACCACTGTTGTCGTTAACTGAAGCAGCACTCAGGGCTCCTCTAGCACATATAGAATGACGCCTGAATCTGCTGCACAGACATATAGTCTGCAGTACAATAGTACCGTACTTTAAAATTCATAAATTCTGGTTTATTTTGGCTTTCAGTAGGTTAATAGTACTTCTCATATCTGTGTGAAAGTGTACTCAGGATAGTAAACCAACAAAAGGTCTGAGGATTTACAGGAGTTAATTTATTTGAAGCCAATTTATTATTTGATGAGGAGTAATGGAAGGGAGCATTTGGGGGGGATTTTGTAAAAAATTGGGGTTACTGGACAGTAATGAAAGCAAGTAAGATGTTCTATGAACATTAAATTGAACTTTTCAGTTGAGACAAGATGTGCAAACACTGAACAGCAACAGCAAATCAACTGATCCCATGGTTTGCAGCTCAGCAAGATATGCAAACCATTTTATACGTAATACAAGAGGTTTATGCTCCAGGACAAGTGGCATTAAGATTTTACATGGATCCTTAGAAGAATCAGAGAAATAAGTTTACCTTAATGTTCAAGCTTTTTTCCTTCAGGTTGTCATCAGCCACCTGCTCTGCAATAACCACTGAGTTTACCTGAATGGACATATCATTCAGGTTTCTCTGCTTCAGTTGGTCTAAAGCACGTTCCAGTTTTGCATTTGTTTCAACACACTAAAATAAAGCCAGACATATTTAAGTACCATTCAAGAAGAGAATTTATGAGTAACTTAGATATGCAAATTGCAACACCCACCATCTCACAATTTCTTTGCAATTCTGTCTTGAGCTGGTCCCGCTCAGTCCTGACATCCTGAAGAAGTTTTTGTAGCTCATCTTTTTCTTGATTAACTGATGCAATTTGTTCTCTAAGTTGGAAAGAGTGACTAGTTCTTTCAGCTAATAACTGGTCTTTTTCACATGATACACTATTTAGTGTGTCAGTTAACTGTTGAATCTACAATAAATAGTGGAGAAAAAGAAAGAAATTACAATTGCAATTTGATAGCAATAGTCTGAATACTCTGCTATGAAGTACTCAGATCAGTTTTGTCAAATACAAAGAACACAATTTCCAATAACTAAAATTCACATTAACAGCAGGAGAAGTTTAAAAATAATTTTGCTGTTCTAATAACTCAGAAAAAGAAATTCTAAAGAAAAGGAGTAGCCTGACAACCAGAGAACTCTTAGTCAACTTTAGTGTTCTGTAAACCGAGAAAGCAAACGAAAAGGCAGTCAACATATGTCCATATCGCAAGAAAATTAAAAGAAATAGAAGATAAGCATAAAAGATGGACATTGGATTTATATTTGCTATAATGAACAGTGACATTTCCTAATCTGAAGCAATCCTCAATCATACTTTTTGATCAACAAAGGAACAGTTTGACAGGTGAAAGTCTAAGGAGTGAAGACTGAAAAAAGACTGAATTGGCAAGAGCTGAGTGCAAGACTCTCAAACTTTATCTGTTATATAGAAAGTGTGCAAAGCAAGCATAAAAATGACAGGCTGGGAACTAAAATTTAAACTGGCTTTGTGTTGATCAAAAGTTTAGCACATCAGTAATAAAACATCAGAAGACAAAGTAGCTACTAAACCCCAACCCCCTTCACCTTGCTTGTAAGGCTTTCTTCCAAAATCTCTGACCGTCTCTGGACCTTTAACAAATGTTCTTCTCTTTCTTTACAAGTCTCCACCATTTGTTGCAGCTCATCTTTCTCCTTACTAAGTACAGTGATTTTCTCAAGCTGCTGACAAACTTGCTCATTCATTGTCCTTTCAATTTGTTCTTTTTCTGCCAGTAGCTTGCCATATTCAGATGAGACATGAGTCAGCCTTTCAGTTACTTCAGTGAGCTGAAAGAACAAATCAAACCCAGTATTAATATTTCTAATCATCTGTAGTGTGGGTAGAATTAATTTGATAGTTTGGAGAGAAACCAACCAGTAACATTCCAAGTTCCTAAATTTTCTTGTCCCACTAATCAAGTTCTGATCTGAGGAGAATGTTATTCGATCATATTTCATAAGCGCTATTTGCACATACGGGTTGTTATAACAGGATTATCATACAGAAGACATGTCCATTAGTTTCCTGCTATAATAAGCAAAGCCAATATAACAGTTTTCTTAAAAGTCAACAAAATTTCAGTGCTTCTGTCTCATTGAGAGTCAAAAGTGATTGTGGGAAAACCTACAGGCCATTCTGATTCCATAAAAATGTGTCCATTGCTGTATCCACACCAGATGGAAGACATTACCACACGTAAGAATGAGCCCTAAAAGCTTAAGACATGAAATAGTAAGTAGATAGGAAATTTCTAATAGCGCAACAAGTAAAGCATGAGCTAAACTGCCTTAAAGTTGCTATGTAGCTCTTTGGGGCTACATAGCTAAAATACATTATTAAAATTTTAAAAAATTTAAGACTGGGAAAACACATTGAGGTTCAAAGTGCAGTATTGATGGCAAAAAATATTCTGTCATTCAGCACTAAGACATATTTAGTTATAAATAAGGGTGGTAGGTTGCAGGTCAAACTGTATTTGATCATCCTTTCCTTGCCTCTGTTTTCATGGAATTCTTTTGAGAAGCAGTACAGGGCAAAAAAAAGAAAGTAAAAACTATCAGTTAAGTTTCATTATTTACATTTACTGGACCCCCTGCAGAAGACATGGGTTGCCATACATGATGGAATTTTTAGTTTACTTGACCAAACTCTTTCTGACCTTCTGCTGCAGTTCATCAGTTTTTTCCTTCAGTGCCTCTTGCGCTTTCGAGAGTTGATTTTCTTTCTCTGAAATGTTTTCTTTCAGCTCCACAATAGTCTCCTGATGTTGTCCAAGAGATCTGTGAGTACACTGCAACTCCTTCTGCATCTCTGAATTCTTTGGACACAATTGAAGTACATTAACACCTGAACAACGCTTCCAAAACCTAAGGCAGAAGTTTACTAAAGCTATTATCCTACAGGAACAGGACTATTTTTATTACCTTTCTTATTGTCTCCTGCACAGTTTCTCTTAGCTGGTCTCTCTCGTTCTGGAGATTTGCCAGTTGCATTTTAAGATCATCCTCTTCTCTTTCTGTCTGGGTGCTCACTTCCTGACAGTCATGCAGTTTGGGAATAAAATCTCTTCTCCCCATTTTATCAGATTCTCCTTCGTATTCACTGGTCTTCGCTTCCTCCATTTCATGCAATTTCCTTTGTGCCTGGCTGAGCTCTTCCCTCAGAACAAGTAACTCTTGCTCAAGAGATTTTTCTTGGACCTGTGGTACCTATTTTATGCAAAGACAGATGTCAGCACACGTAGGAAAATAGCTTTAAGAGAAGTATACCTGAGCTTTGACATGTGGATTATGTAAAATAAAGGCGCTGTCTTAGAGAGATTTCTGGCTTTCTTAGAACAACAAAATTTGTCTGAACACAACATGCAATTCAAGGTTTTTGAAATAAGGGACATGTAAAAATAAGATTTGAAGCAAGGACTTCTGAAACAAGTTACCAGAAGCAGAATTTCATTGTCATAATTTAAGCATGGGGTGAACAACAACAATGATGAAAACAAAAACGCCCAACAAATCCCTCTCCTCGCAAAACTAGAGATCTAATGAGTATTTCTAGTCTCAGCAGTAGTTGACAATGGTGTCAGGACAATTATTTACTTGAAATTAGTCCACTCTCCCTTCCATATTAAAATGAATATACATACTGTACCTTTTTTTGTTTTGAA